CTGGTGGACAGTTTTGCTGCTGGAATAACGAGGCAGGTGAAAGCAGGCTGAAGGAAGGCATGCCCATCAGAAGCTTGATGTGGAGAGAATGAATGGCTTGTTCTTTTTGAGAGCAACTCAGATGGAGGAAAACAAACATTTCACGAATTGTGTCCTACAACCTGTTATTTTCCAGAGAAAAAATTCTGCTTAGGAATCAAAATTGTCCTATTCTAGGTTTCAAGTCTTACTCCGTATCTTAAAAAACATATTCTGGGCTTGAAGACTGGTATGAATAATGCCTTGGAGATACAATAGTCTAGGCTGAAATGCACACTACAACTTCATTGTTAGTAAAGGTTCCATCAGCCTTAAATGACCTCTATCTGCTCAAGAAGCCTTCATTTATATTTAGAATCATAGAATCATAGAATAGTTAGGGTTGGAAAGGACCTTAAGATCATCAAGCAATGGGCAGGGACACCTCTTACTAAACCATGTTACCCATTTATACCTGCTAATTATCCATTTTAAGAGGGAAAAGGTAATTTGGATTTATGATAAGGTTATTTGGGGCAGGAAGTTCTGTTGTACAGCTGAGTACTCCATCTCCTCTGTGTATTCAGCACAGTATTGTTAACATTCTGTTTAAAAAAACACCAATCTTCTTTAGTGGTAATATGGTCAAAGGTCTCACTTTTCTAAGAAAGAAGTGGATTTGGGGGCTTCCCAGATAATACATCTGACCTTTCTTTTTATAGTACACCTCAAAAATGAAGCTGACCAGAGAAATCATAAGAATTAATGTATTTCTCTAGACTGCATGTTCTACTTACTTCTCTCTCTGAATAACATCTGGATTTTCTTCAGAGTGGCTGGCTGTGTAACTTGGAAATACATGCCAAAACATCTGCAAGCCAGCTACATATTGCAAAGCATCTGCAGCTTAGAGCTCATGGGAATTCCTTGAATTATGGTATAGGGAGCACCAGCAAGCTGGAGGGAAGGAGAAGAAAGACTAAGCAAAAAAACCAAATCCTTGTTCTGCACTGTTCGCATGAAGAAAAAAATTATAAAAAAATGAGATTAAGAATGAAGAATGATTGCCTAATTCAAGTAATCAGCACTGCAGAACTGTAACCTATTTATAACCAGAAGAAATACAATTTCAGTCATCTCAGTATAGATTTTATAAATGCTATCATTCACCCTTCATGCATCATCCTCATAACTGCCTACAAAATTCAGACTGAAAATATTTTTTCTACATTTGTTCTTATTGTTGCCCATCTTCTATGAACTTTGTCATAAAGTAGAAAATCCTTCATGTTTTTTTTCAAGGTCAAGTATACCTTTAGGTGATAAGAACCTTCCATCTTCCCTGACAAAGTCAATGACTGTCTTTATCAACTGTCCTACCAAAGTTGATCAAAGACTTTGATTCTGAACAATGTCATTGAACTGGGATTGAACCGATGTGAACGTACAAATTCACGATGAACGCATGATGAAGAAAAAAAAAAGGTAGAAAAACTGTAATCTAAACTTTTATATAAAAATCTAAAAACAGGCTCTAATGAGTCAAACCAACAGTTCAATATTCTGCCTCCAACAGTGGCAACGGGCAATGCTATGTAAGGTGAGCATGAGCCATTGTCTGCAGTTCATTCATCTCATACTCCCTCAGTAGCTGCAATCATTGGATCAGGGATGGTCATTATACTTGCCTATATACTTACCTATTCCTGGTTTAGATGATGGATGTGACAGGATACATACTTACCTATTTCTCTCATCCATCATCTGTATAGTATCAGATCTATGAACTTCTATTTAACTCTCTAGTGAGAAAATATTTGATCACTAAATAAATTACTAGGATTAGCCTTAGAGTTTGAATCCACATGCTGTAGCCAAGAGAACAGGTAGACTAGAAGATGTCTGTGGTAGAAGGGCTGTTCACTGCTCCTGCCGAAGCCAGGCCACAACATAACAAGGAGCACAAGGATGAAAGGAGAGTACCAAACTGTGACAGAGAAATCCTGTCTCTCCATGTCCCTGAGATTTTTTGTGTTTATCACCAGACAGCAACTAAATAAAAGACCAAATCAATCCTGGAGCAAAGATCAGGAGTCCCCCCGCAGAAGGGCCTTAGCTTCTGTAGATGGCAACAAATACCTCCAAGTCCACTCAGAAAGAGAAAGCAAACATAATCTCTTGACAGTTTCTGATAAAAAGAGGACTTTAGGGTTAAAAAAAAACCCACCACAACTTTTATCTTTCCCATAAAGCCCCCTTAAAATCAGGGAAGCTAAGACATAGTTGCAAGCCAAGACATATTCTCTGTTTGTCCTCTTGAGTTGAATTTCTGTTTCAAAAAGTGACTGGGGAAAAACAAAACCATCTCAGTTTCAGTGTTTATTCATTTGTGGTCTATGAGCTATTAGTTAGTTTCATTGGTATTGCCCAGTTAAAATCAACAAGATTACATGAGTGTCACTGACGACACAATTTGAAAACAAGTATGCTGGGTAGCTCTTTCACAGCTGAGATGACTACAGATACACGAGTGGACAGTTTAAGTAAGGATCCAACTGCAGTGGGGTTGAGGACATATATTCATTAGTCATAAACAGAGATAGTTTGCATTAAAAAACCCCAAACAACAGTTGAGGTCTTAGAAGAGTTAGACAACAGGCTAAAGGCTGGGCTCAGTTTGTATGCTCTTTCTAGTCCTAGTTTCTTTCTGGCATTTTTCACTCCTGGGAGGAGCTGCACTTCAAACACTGTCCTCTTCTCAGTGATCTCCCTGATCTCTCCAGATCAGGCTGTTCTAACACTTTCAGAGTTTATGTCCCTTCCTTGCTCCTGGATAGAGGCTTCTCATGAAGGAAACAAAGCCAGGTTCAGCGCAGAGCTTTTGGTAAAACACTAAACAAAAAGCCGACAGCGGTTTGTGGGTTGCACTCTCAGAAGGGTACATTTTGTTCTTGTTGGTGTCAGGCCAAAATAATATCAGTCTAAATTTCACTGGAATTTATGCTGGCGTACACCATCGGAAGTGAAAGTGAACTAGTGTCAAGAGACGAATACATTTTGGTGGTGAAGGAAAAGAGATGTGCAGCTTGAATTAAAAAATATCTCATACCCTCTGGTAAGTGGTAGCATCAGTCTTCAGTAGCATCACCCACTTAAAAACATGGCACTTATTTTGATTCCATATTCTATTTCATCAGCATAACAAAGTTGAAACACTAACTTTGATCTTAATCTGTCTGAAAAATTCTTCTCCATTTGTAAGCTTTATAAGCTTTCAATCAAGATTTTTTACTAACATTTTTATTTTCATTAAAAAGAAAAAATAAAGTGAACATGGCATTTAATTGATTTTTGCTTTACTTTTAGCTGACTCTAATGAAAATCTGATTTTTTTTTCTGCTCTGCAGTTTTCTGTAATAAAAACTCATACTAATAAAGGGAGCATACTAATAAAAGCATGCTTGCACAACATATAAGTTGTCAAAGTATTCACTTTCCTTTCATAGACATCACCATGTCAAGCACATAGGTATAAACAGCTTCCTAGTACTGAGATTAGTAATAGGGAAGTTTTGCATTGCTGTAATGTGGAATGCGATTGTTTCCCCCCTCCTCTCCCCAGGAATAAGTAAACAGACATGTAACAATAATTTCTTATCAGCAAGAACACCTGAGATGCAGTAAAGACCAGTCAGCCGCTAAATAATTGTTTTAAACTTATAGCTGGGTTTTGGGGGGGATTCATTTATTTAATTTAAAGAGAGAGATGCTGGGTGGTCAGGATAAGGTAAAGTATACTGAGAACAGAGAGATCCTAAATGCAGAGTGGGATTATGCAATTGTGTCTTCTGGGACAAGTGCTAAGATATGAAGGAACATACAATTTCCAAAGAGAAGTCTTTGTCCATCATAGCAATGTAACAGTTGTTTAACCAATGATTAACCAACAGCATGGAAAGCTTTTTATCCTACTAACCTGAATCTTTTCTTTTTTTAAACAGATTTCCAATAGCTGATCATTAAACTAGGGTTATATAAATCCTGTGAACACAGAAATGCCACTGCTCTGTATTCTTCCACTGCTTGAGAGAAACAAAAAAAAAATGTCAGCTGTCAAAGGAGAAAAAGGTGGCATCTCTACCTGGTCAGCTGCTTACCAAAAAAAGAAGTAAGACCTTAACAAGGTGACATTTAAAAGAAGTAAGAGGCAGAGTGGGTGCAGGGTTTTTTCATGATATCCAGCTTTGAAAACAGGATCTTCACTTTACCAAGTAACAATATCTGTTTGAAGATCCTGAAACAGTAGCAGATTTGATATAACTTCAAGGTTAATCCATTGTCAAGCAAAAATTTGGACTAGATGATCATCTCCCGACATCACAGAATCATAGAGTATCTAAAATTAGAAAGGACCCATAAGGATCATCAAGTCCAACTCCCTGCTCCTCACACGACTACCTAAAACTAAACCAAATGACTAAGAGCATTGTCCAGATGCTCCCTGAACTCGGTGTAGTGACCATTTCCCTGCAGAGCCTGTTCCAGTCACCAATCACCCTCTCAGTTAAGGACCTTTTCCTATGTCCAAATGGTCCTTTCTAACCTCAGAAGTATGATCCTACAAAACCACCGGTGCTATGAATATACTGATAGGACACACCACGCAAAGCCAGGATGAAAACAGATGTCTAGGACAAAGAAGAAACTACACATGAGGGCACTTGCTAGAGGTGACTTGCTTGTATCTACACTCTGAAGGAAACTCTTTAACAAAGGTGACTGGAACAAAAGAAATCAATGTATATCGAATGTACAGTGCTTTTTCAAACATGTTGTAAGTATCAACAAAACAGATGTTTGGAAAACCCTCAAATTTTCCACTCCCATGGGAGAAAATCTGCATCCACACACCTACTCTAATTCTTATGCACATATGCTTATCTAAAGGAATATGTTCTTTGAATTAACAAGGACCAAAAATATTTACTCAGAATCTTGTGACATAATTTTATTGTATTTTGTAGCATTCTTTTTATGACATGCCTAATACAACACTTGTAACCACTACTAGAAGGATTGTATGAGGGCATTCACTGAATTTACAGCCAAATTTGATGACCAATAAGCGAACAGGCAGCTACAGTTCTTACTGTCTTTTTTTTTTTTTTTTTGTAAGTGAGCATTTAAGGTCCAAAATAGCAGCCCAGGAACAGAACAATTTTACTGTCCTTAACATTATTATGTTCTAGTTAAATATGAACATATTCTAAATGAAAGATGGCTAAGTGAGTCCACAAGCGTCTTCATGGAACATTCATACATGCCTAACCACTGCACATTTTCATAGCAACACTTGTTCCAGCTAAATACGAATATAGTTGTGCTTATAGTTGCTGTAGTTCCCTAGTTTAAATGTGAAGCATATAACCCATAAAACTGAGACTTGTGGGATTTTTCTGAAGTGTATGCCAAGAAGAGTTTTGTAAGGTTCTGGGGCCAGCTTTACTTTTTCTTTGCTTTGTGTAGGTCAAATGCAAGTTTTAGCCCTAGAACAGGAATAACATATCTGACAGCATAAATGACAGCCATTTTAGTGTGGGCTTTTCCCAGCAGGTATTCAAAACCTTCTTTGAATGCAAGTCCAATAATGCTAGATTACCAAATTATACATCCTGAGTCATTTTGACTTTGTACAAAGAAAATTGTCTCCACCTCTCCCTCCCAAACCTAAACAAACACCAGATGCAGATTAAAGTTGCTGAACTTCTACAGATAACTGGCAATACTGGGACACTGGTGTTTGCTATGCTTTTGAATGACTGAACTCACATAGCTGTTTCTTGTGTTTTTCCCCTATTCAGGTATTTGTTTGATGTATCTGACTGGATGAGGACTAGAAGAAATAAAACATTGTGCATTATATTTGAAAAAAACCCTACACATACAATCTCAGATACCAAGAAATTCCCATATAATTTCTCTCCTGACACTCAAAACATCTACTGTCATAGTGCCTCATCTTAAAAAAAGTTACACTTCTTTTTCTGAGACAAAAACACCAGGACTGAGATAGGAGAACAGAAGAGTGGAAAAGATTTGCTGTTTACTAGTCTGGCACGTCTACTTCAGAGCTGACACTCTGAGAGGGTCACTACAAGGTAGTTTAGCCATCTGAATGTGCTTTGCAAATTTGAAAGAAAATCCAGTTTATAACTGTTGAGAAATATGAGAAGATACTTAAAACATAGTAAAAAGTAAACATTTACTGGATTAAAGTATATTACTAGAACCAACAGGACATAACTTTAAACATGTATAAAGTATTATACATAAAAATGCATAGATGTACAGTAAATATGTTCATTTATATGTAGCCAGAGTAATATGTACACATAGAGTCTGCTGTGCTTCTGTAAGTAATTCTCATGTTATGTTGTCTTAAAGCACTTTTATTATACAACTGTTTCAATGTAGCAGGTGCTGAGAACAGTGTACATTAACACTAAGTAGGTAAGTCATATCTATTTACTCTTGAAATGTTCAAATATAGGAAACAAGAGCCATAAATGCAATAGTACCTACACCTTCAAGACTTCCTTCTTTTTTTTATTTAAATATGCACAAGTCCGCCTAATGGTGATATATAGGTTTCTTTCCTGCTTCCATTCCATGTCAGCATGTTGACCGTGCCCCCAGGACAAAATCTCTGATGCCCTTCAGCACCACTTCCACTGACTCAACTCAGTGAGCTCCTGACCTTGAAGTCTTCAGGTCAAAAATGACAAGAAAAAATAAAATAAAAAAATATATAAATAAAACAAAGAAGCTTGTGGACTTTTTTTACTTTTTCACAAGGTATTTGCCACCAATACTGTCAAAGCAGCTGAATCGTAGTGCATCCATGGGCAGGAGCATATAGCAGCTTTTGTGCGCTTTGCAAAAAAAATATATTAAAGAAAATCAAGTCTTTACTGGCTTGTTTTATCTGTTGCTAAAAAGATGCTGTGCTGCTTCTGAGCTCTTTCCATTAAGTTCTTTTTCTTCTTTTTCTTGTCCTTTGTTTTTGTTGGCCTTCTCCCTAAAAAAAAAGGAAAAGCAAATAGTATCAATGAGACAACTAAGTAAAGAATACAGAAGTGACATTAGACTGTAGCTGAAAAACTCAGTGGCACAGATATTATCAATGGGGAATGCAAAGGTAATCCTGGCTAATGAGCTTTGATCATCTGTGAAAACAGAAGTTTTCAATGTGATACAAGAGGAAGCAGGATCCCCAACTGTCATCACTTTTCTACAGACACATTTCACTGGTATGAGTAACCATGTTGATGTAGGTCTCACTTTCGGCAGAGTAACTCATGCAAACAACGTTATGCAAGTGCCTCGGGCCCGGAGCCAAGCAAGTACATAGACTCCTAACTCACTGAAAGCTGGATACATGCCTTAGACCCTTGCGTAAACTTGCTTGAGTGAGTAATCCTATTTAAGTCAAGTCCAATACATCCGTGATTTCAATAAGAAATCAAGCATTACAGACCACGTATTTGGTTGGATGTCATCCTACATGCTTTGGCTCAAACAGTGCTGCCTCTGCAAATAACTGTTGTTACTGCTTCTTAGTGCACTCTGCCTAATTCTCACAGCACATTACTGTGCAGAAACAAAAATTTCCTTACACACTTCTTACAATCAGAAGTTCACTGAAAAATAACCAAAACTGGGAAATCAGGATCAATGCACGGAAAAAAAATTCTCAGGCTCCTGGGATGGGAAATGTTTTCTTTCTGTTCAGTTTCAACAATAAATCTGCATCTTTTGCAAATCTCAAATACAAAGGCCCTTATTCAGTAATGCATTACCTTTTAAATATATGCTTAAATACTAGTGAGTCTAGTAGGATTTAAAGAGATGACTGAATGCTGTCTGGAGTGAGAACAGCATGAGTTTTCTTGGCAGTATCATATATTGAAATATGTGATCAATGGTAAAAAAAATAAGATTATTAATCTCTAGAGCTGCTAACTTCATAAACTTTCAGGAGAACTAAATGAACATAAGAAGACAGTGAAAGGCAATTCAAGTAGCAGACAATATAAAAATGTGAAAATGCATTTTTCATCTACATTTTCAGTACATTATTAACTGGGGGAAATGTTTGCCAGATTGGCTTCCTCTTACTTCCATATTGTTTCTTAATTAAAAAGCCCAAATCAGCATGAAGCATTTATCTCTATTTGATAATAGTACTGAATAAATCAGATTCTAAAAGTATCAAAAATCATGATTAATTAAAAATGTAGGGTAATATATTTCAGATTATATATCTGTAATATGCCATCCAGGCTACAACTTGCTAGGAATTAATGGAATACTTGTATATAGAATAGGACAGGACATTAAGGTAACGAGCACATGAGTTTAGTCCATATTAAAATCATAAGGGTCCTTGGAGTTTACTTCTGCTTCTCATTAAAGTCTGGAATTAATGCTACTGTGGCATTTTGCCATTTTTAAATCTAGTTAATCCTACACAGTAAAACCTCAGTCTAACCAATCATTAATCAAAGCAGCTTTTAAGTTAAAACTCTTTAGTAACACTGTATCTAATGAATAGGCACACGTAATGAGGTCAGAAGGAAGGAATACTTGACACAAAATAGCATTACAACAAGATGGTTTCAATTATAGAGATTTCCATTATTTTCTCTCTTTTTTTTTCTTTTTTTTTTTTCCTTACATGATTCTACTATTTGGGACACTGTAAGGCAGAGAACTGGGATGAATGTATAATTCAACACTGAATTCTAACTTGCACTTTAAATATCCTATTTTTTAAACCAAAAATTCAAAATACTTACTGAGAAAGGAGTAGATGAGGAGAAACAATTTGAAATGAGTAACCAATGCTGCTGGTCAATTGACTGTCAGAAGACCAACAGAATCAGTCAGAGCTTTACTGGAGGTTTGCTCAATGATCTTACTTTCTGAAGTTTTTCACTGTACACACTCCACTCACTGCCCATTTAGTTTTCTCTACAACCTCCTCCAGAGAACTCAGAAAGAGTAACTTCTTTACTGTAAGCTTGAGGTAGTGAAAGATCCTATTATTTTTCCTTAAAAACATTGAGATGCACAAATAAAATGGCCCACAACCCACTTGGTATCTTTGTCTAGGCTTTACAAAATAGCTTCTGTAACACAAGCATCAAATCAAATAGCCAAAACCCCCATACAATATCCTTAAAATAGACATGAACTGGACTCAAAGATTTGACATGTCATTGTGCTATGAACACATTATGGTGCTTCTGCTGCTCTACAGCAATTGTCCCTGTACCTACTTTTGCCCCAAGGCTCACCAAAGACAAATTACCTTCTTTTACACATGCCATGGAGTAGTAACCTGAGGCAGCACCACCAAGCTGTTGATATCTGGATATTTGTTCTCTTGTGACTATTTTGGCTGCTCACTATATTTCCAAGTACCCTGTTGTACAGAATAAGTTTCATTATTTTCAGGACAATATTAAACCACACAGAGAAAATCCAGATGGCTGGCAATGCTGAGTCCTAAATTCCAACTGTTATTTTAACCAGAAAACTGAATATAAAAGGTATTCTTGGCTAACCATTGGTTCCTATATTGTTACTAGAATGCATCAGAGATTAGAGATTAGCAAGAAAAAAGTGACTGTAAAGATTAGAGAGTTCAAAGTATGCTCCTGAAGTCCACACTCCTGAGAATTTTAATTAAATACAGATTTCAATTACAGCGCTTATTTTGTCAGCAGAAGCGCAGTGAACAGAAGTAACTTCTGAATATCTTGCTACAGATGTCTTTTGAAGAATAAGATGCTTATGACACAGAAAGTTGATCCTCAGAGAGGATCTGGGAGCCAAACTCTTCCAGTTCCCCGGCTGGAGGACAGTGGGGTGAGAATAGGCAATGGAGGAGATGCTGCCCTGGGGATGAGATGGTAGCAGCTTCCTCTGCTCTGTGACATGGGCTGGATGTGGAGAACCTCATCTGCAGGGAGCCTTGCATGGCCTCCCCCATACCTCAACATCCGCAATACTCCAAACAGCAAGAGCCCTGACCCCAAGCCCTTCTCTCCATAGGAAGCAGCAGGACTCTGAGACGCTGTAAAGTTGTGTTCATACATTGTAATGTATAGGGCCTAAGAAAGACCTGAAACTTAGCTGGATTCAGTGTTCAATTATCCAGCAGATAAAAACCTTAAAAGCTTATTTATCATTCTGTACCTCATATTTCTGCACAGGTTACTTTACATAAGCAAGACTGGCAAAGCCATTCATTCGAACCCTTTATTGCAATATTATAAAATTCAGTTTTCCTATTTGTTTCAGAAATTACCAATGAGTTAATCCTAATTTTCTAAGTAACTTATCACAATTTTTGGTATCTTTACAGTGTTATTCATTAAACTTTTATTTGGATCACTTGGTTCTGACAGATGAGTGGGCAAGTAATACAGTATGCTATGAAATCTTCTCATTATTGAACAATGTACCACAACTTCGGAGGGTATGATTACATATAGGTAATGGTATGGTAACATATAGGTAATACTGCAGTTTCAACATGAACTCCTGAAAAAACATCATGATAATATACACAGCAATAGTCTGTAGACAAGAGTAACAGCTACAAAAATAATTATTTAACTTGGCTCTTGATGGATTATTATTCTTCCTTTTTTGTTGTTTTTGTACCATTTGACCAGTGTTGCTCCTACAGCTGCTGTGTGCTGGTATATTAGAGACTTGGGCTCAGTTTGACAGTTGTCTCGTACCCTGAGTATGAATGTGTTTCGAAATACTGCATGCTCCTTCTGGATGGATCCACCTGGTCCCTTCAGGATATGTATTACCTGGTTCAGAAGGAGCCTTCATCACCTTCTGTCAGATGCAAAGGCAGCTTTCTCCAGACAGAGCTTGGGCAGCAGATTCCTAACACTCAAGACACTCCTGCTTATCCAGAACTAAAATGCAGCCAATGTATTCACAGGGACTCCCAGCTACATTGCTTGAGAACCTTGGCTCAGACTGACAGCATCAGTTCAGAATCTGCTGTATAAACAGTGCTGTATGTACTGCTCTTCTAACAAAATCTGTCCATTGCAAATTTCAACAGATGGAGAAAACACAGTATACATCCACACGAGGGCAGCAAGGATTTAAACTTAAAACATTTCATCCAGGAAAAAAAAGGCAAAAACTATTTGCAGCTTTATTTCATAGTGCAATCACCTCAAAAATTTTAGGTGTTCTTACACACCAATTATTACCTTAGAGACATCAGAATGTTTAATACCCCCTTCTTTATTTAAAGCATTTTTCTCTTCTAGTGATGATTACTGAATAATGAGGCTTAGATGTCCTGCCCCTTTCCTGGATTTTCATATGCAGAACTTTCATTACAAGCAGTGAAGGCACCATGGTTCCTGGGATAATGGCATGGTTCCTTGCTAAATACATCTTTTAATATTTTCTTCCCTTCCATTTGTCGTTTTAGGAGCTAAGTGTTGTACACTTGTACATCAGTCTGTGGCTGCAGTTCTACCATAGGCCCTGCATGCGGCAGAATCCCATCTGCATGGTAAAATAAAAAAGTTATTACACTCAAGTCACATCACTGAAGGATAGGAGACACCAGGGAAACTAAGGATAGCACTGGAAAGATGACAGAGATACTCAGTGATTAACCAGCTAGATCAACTCAGGAGAAAGATGGCAGATGGAAGCTGCTGTAGGAGCCCTCTCTGGCAGGACAGCTTCTATACTACTCAGACCCATGAATGCCTCATCATTTACTCCCCATTTATACCACACATCAAACTACACATAAGCAGTGACCGCAAAAAAATCCAACAACCAACCAAACAAAAGATTCAGTCCAGAAATGACTCCCCAGAGGCCATTTATTTCCTGGGGCTTTCAGTCAGGTTTAAAATTTTGGATAGTGAAACTTCCAGAGAAATGTACAAATTGCTCAGAAATCTTATGAGCACACACTCAGTGAGAGAAAAAAGTTCCCCAGTTCTACAAAGTCAACTT